CTAAAAAGATTAACCCTTGGTTCCCGACGTCGTAACTTACGACATGACTCTTTTTTTATGTCGTAACGTACGACATAATTGGAATTACATTAGAAAATGGCTCAAAAATGGAAATCCTTCACTTTAATCAAGTCATTTGAAATCGATAAAGTTCAACCGGTAAATGAGAAAAATCCAAAAACGAGCCAGGGATCAGGGACGCGCGGAAAAGATGGGATACGCGGGAAAGTATCCAGTTGCCACTCGGTGGCCCACAGCTCATTACAGAATTTGCTCGATGGCTCGCATCCGGCCTGGAAAACGAACCAAAACAGCCGCCGTTGCTGCGGTGGCGCCCAACATTGACTTTGGCCACTTTTGGCGACAACTTCGAGCTGTGGGATGGAAGTACAAGCGACCAACCGGGATACAAACTAAAGGGAAGTACGTAAGTGCAGATGGTTCAAAGGTGTTAGTTGGAGAGGAGGCTGTGGTGGCGTATGCATTAGAGACAAGAATATTGGATGAGCCGGAGAGCGCAGAGGAAGCCAACGCTGCAGACGATGAGGTCGCTGCTGACGTAGTAGCCGACGATGACGAGAGCGCCGCTGCCTCTGCTACTGAAGACGCCGTCACTTCCAGTAAATACGCCGCCGATAATTGTTTAGAGGACGTACGTGCGTCGCAGATCGACACAAGTGCTGAGCTGTCACAGCAGACCATGAATGATCTGTTTGGCACCCCAAGCAGCTTCAATAGCTCTGAAGTCGAGCTTTCACAGGCAGCAGCTACTGGGGCTTTTAATTTGTCGCCCGGAGAGCTTCGAGACGCAGCGACAAACCTGCAGTTTCTGTCATCTGGACCCGAGAGTGACGCTCAGTCGGATGTTGGCGCTGCTTCCCCGCCTGACAGTCCAGTGCCCGCACAGCCTATAACTGTGCCGACCGCCCTACCTGTCACTGTGCCCGTCGCCCAGCCTACACGTGAGCCTGACGCCCAACCCGTACGCAAGCACGCTTCCCAACCTGTTCGTGTGCCAGCTACGCCGACCTGTCCTGTCCTACGCCCCCGTCATCCTGTCAAGAAGGATGTAAATTTTGTGACTGACGACGAAGACCTGAGTGACTACGAGAGCTTTAGCTCTGGAGACAGTGATGACGACATTGAAGAAGACAATTATGACGATGATGGCAATGATTGTGAAGTACCTGAAGAATTGGATGAGCTGTCAGAAGATGACGCTGTGCCAATGGACGCAGCGTTCATTGACTCACTTCAAGTAGGCAGTGATGCCCTCAACAGTCAAGCCAAGCAGCAACGTGAGGACGCGTTACGTTCAATGGAGTGGTCTCCAGTCACTCACGAGTTTGAGGAGGGTGTCGAAGCGTACTCTGGTCTGAAATTGGAAGAGGCATTACTTACGTCGTAAGTTATGACATTAGATTGGTTTCTCACCAATTATGTCGTATGCTACTAGATTTGAGCTGTATGCGGGCAAAAGAAGAGATGGAGAGCATTCAGCATTTGACCATAAGACCGGTGCGGCTGCAGTCGTTAGAAATTTGAAGACATTGCTTGGTCCCAACACCCGGCTTCCATGGCACGCAGTAGCTATCGACCGCTTCTATTCGTCAATTCTACTTGCTATCGAGCTACTGGGCATGCAAGTGTACGTGATAGGCACGATAATGACCAACCGGCTTGGATATGATGCAAATGTCAAAGAGAAACGCAAGTCACGTCCAGCAAGCGTTCCCCGAGACATGTTCACGTTTTCTCGTTCTGTCGCCATTCCAAATATGGTTGCTTTTCACTGGTGGGACCGGAAACCTGTGCATTACCTGTGCACAGGCTCGGCAATGACAGAGACGACTATTACACGAAACGTCAAGCGCGTTGGTACAATTACCGTGCCCTGCCCGGCGGCTGTAACCGACTATCAACGTTGGATGGGCGGAGTTGATGTGCATGATCAGCTCCGCCTACAAAAGTACTCTTTGCAGAAGTCTACGAAGTTCAAGAAATACTACAAAAGCTTTTTTGGAGGCTTCGTGGATTTGGCACTTGTAAATGCGTTTATTTCGCGCAAAGAGGCTGCACGTATCGCTGGAACGCCGGTGATGAAGCGAGAAGAATGGTTCGGAGTCCTGCAAAACCAATTACTGCAGCTGAAAGTGGAGGACTTCGCTGGTATTGTTGCAACACCGACACCTAGCAGCCAGAAGCGGAAGCGCCCCCAACTACGTCTGACACATGCTGTCGAGCAGGCCGACGACTGGGTGACCGTTACGGGCATTCAGAAGCGTCGCCAGCGATCTTGCAAGGTGTGTGCCCTGTTGCGCACGGATCGAAAGAAGAAGTCGTTTGCTACAACTTACTTTTGCGAACGCTGTTCTATTGACGATGCAAAGTGCTGGCTGTGCAGCAAGATACGACGTCAGTACAAAGGGTAGCTAAAACGTGCTTTGAGATCTGGCACGACGACTTCGACTGCGGCCAAAACATTCCTGCAACACTGGAAAAGAGAGTTGTCTTGCGACGCCCGGGGAAGAAGGCAGGTGTGCACAAGAAGACCCGTCGAGAGTTGCGACTTCGTGAAGATGAGGAAGACGGCGGTGATGAACATGAGAGTGAACAAGAGTAGGCTTGCCAGCGTGACATCAAAAGAGTGTGGGCGCTTGTCATGTCGTAATACACATTTCCTTGAGCATCTGTACTTTTTGTTCTGTCTATTCTACTGATCTGGATTCATAAAACAGCTCTGTGCACCACTTTTTCCCCGATGTGCAGCAGATCTTCCCGCTGTACTTTCTAATGTGGGGCAACTTACGACATACAGGGTTTTCTGCTAGCTACTAAGTAGTATAACTTGCGACTTCTGAGAGAGCAACCTGTCAAAAACTTATACACCTATACGCACGTCGAACATATGCCACATGCAAACAAGTAGTGACATGGACATGTCGTAAGTTACGACATTATTTATCTCGATTTCAATACATTTCGCCGGGAACCAAGGGGTTAAAGATTGATCGATTTGTATTTTTATCGACCTCGATCTAATAAAACGACCTCTATTTATTATAAATTGAGCGTCAGGCTGGTCAAAGGCATTGATATACTCAATATCTACTAACATCATATCAATATGAACTAGAAACATTTTACTTCTACTTTAAACTAGTATTAATACATAGTATGAGTATAAAAGGATTCTAAACTGGATTTAAAACCCATACATTGATTCATACGTAATCCACTATATGTTAGCCCAAAACAAGAGAAGTGCTGGAAACTTGGTTTATCAATATTTCATCACTGTGGTCGTGACGTACTTCGCGTTATCTCCTTAAATTTCTTTCTCCCGACCATACCCATGAATTCTATTTCGATCAGCTTTCAGCACGTTCGTGAAAACCTCATCTGCTGTCTTGTACTTATCGACGAAGTACCACTTGTAGAACTGGGCCTTTTCTAACTTCTTTGCGACGTCGCGCGAGTTTCTGGACAGGTTCCCGGCTAGGATCATCATCGCCACATTTTTCTCACCAAAGACATTTGTGAGTGCTTTAAGCATCTCGCCATAGGGATCATCTTTGTTGATCTTGACGGCGTGCTGGAACCAAATCTTGAAATTGCGGCTTGACAGAAATTTTGCCACCATCTTGGTATCATCCTTGCCAATCCGCATTGTACTAAGTTTTAGCGTCTTGAAAGCACTCCCAAGGGCCTCGTCAGCCTTAAGCATTCCTTGCAGCTCCGTAGATTTGCCTGACGTACTTTTTTTAAGATCTTCTCCAGACTTGGAAATTTATCGAGATTGCCCTTTCCTCTTCCTCTTTTTGTTTCTTCTTTGCCAATAACTGTGGGCTCTTAGAAGCCGCTCAGTAGTGGCGCTGTCGACAACGCGAGCTGAATCGCTAGCGGCGGCCCTCAGATTCAATTCCCTTGTAGCGGGGGCAGGAGCAAAACATGCAAGCAGCAGGAGTAAGACCAAATTGACAGCGTGGAGGGACTTCATAATCAGGTTCGTAGGTGAGTTGTTGGCCACAAGAAAATTGAGAAGTGATAAGTGAACGGGTTCTACCGGAAAGCTTCCACCGGCCCGCCCCGTCCGTACGGGTATCCCAGCTTTAAGTTTACACAGACAGGGGCGGTGAAAAAAAGCTCCCGCTCTCTAAACTAGCATTACTGTATCATTCTTATTAATGGCATGGATCCTGTTGGAGGGATGATTTGCGCAGAGTTGCTAGGGCAGTACAGTACGGAGTGAAGACAAAAGTAGGGTGGCCATAGTGGAGAGGAAGTCTTGAGTGTAGAAGGAGAAGACGCTTGTGTTGGACTTGGTAAAAGGAAAAGAGCTTGTGGTGGACTTGGCAAAAGAAGAAGTGATGAATTATAGAGTCAGGTGTTCTGGAGGGGAGTTCCAACAAGTCCAGTTATATACGATTTCTCTATATGAAATAGTACAGTTATATTCCACGAGATAGTCATCATCACATCGGAGATGTTTACTTCGACAGCTTCCCACATCGAGAAATGTGTATGATGCTCTATCTGTCGGATAGTATTTAATGTACCACAGGCGGCTGTTTATAACAGTCCTGTACGTACATGAGCATTAACAAGAAGTAGATCTTGTTTTGATATTGATGATCTTTTTCCTTTGACTTTCATTGTCAGATTTGTCACCTTGTGCCGTTTTGATTTGGCAATAACTGTTCTGATTTCTTGTTTTCATTGTTATTTTGGTAACTCAGGAAAACCTTAGAGGATTAAACCTGCTCACCGTAGTGATTGTTGTTGTTATCGTTTTAGTTATACGAATTTGTAGCAGCTACTTCAGGGAAACCTTTAATTTTAAGGATCAAAACCTGCTCGCTGAATTGTTGCTGTTATCGTTTTAGCTTTACGAATTTGTAGAAGCTACCTCAGGGAAACCTTTAATTTTAAGGATCAAAACCTGTTCGCTCTGTTGTTGGCTACTCAGGAAACCTTTGAGGATACACCTGTTCACCGTATTTATCTTTATATATATCGTGTAAGCGTTTTAGCTTTGTTCATTTTTTAAACTGCCATTGTTTTGCTCTTTCATATGTGGATATTTCTTCACAATGTGTGGTTTGATTTTTGTTTTTCGCTGCTGAGGTCTTATAGAATTGCCTCCCAATTTCATGAAATGGTTGATATAGGTGTTGCAGTCATTGAAAAATTGTTCTGACTATTGTTATTGAGAGCTTATAGTTTTCAAATATTTTTGAAGAAAGGCTACAGCTTTTAAAAGCACAAATAACATCAAACAGTGTCATCGGTAGCGTACGCATCATATTTGCAGTAAGTGCGCAGGCTCTAGTCGTTGGGGTTCTTTTTCTCCCCAGAGGCTGTTTCTCGTTTGGAATTATAATAATTTTTATTTTTACTTCACAAGCGCTAGCGATAGATTTGCAAACTATCGAATTCATTGTAGATGAAATTGATGCAGTAAAATTATAGTTTGCTTTCTGTAGACAGAGGCTTTTGTAGGCTTGTCTTGTAGTCATAAAGTGCTGAATAATTTTTTTTTATTCATTCTTTTGGTACGGTTATGGAAATGTTTGAAACTTTTGCCAGTAACAATAAATGTTAAAGTTTGGCGAATGCATGAATAGTTTTTGGCATTGATGCATCCCAGTTTCATACATTTCTTAAAGTATTTCTCTCTCAGCGTTTTTTTTTGTCGTACAAGCTAGGCAGTCTTTGTGAAATTTGCAATTTTGTATTTGCATCATGCAAATTGCATATTTGTTTTTGTTCCTTATATTTCTTTTGTGAAGTAGCATAAATATGTATTGAGCAGCTAGGTAACAATGCTTGCACCAAAGCAACATTCTCAGTAGGAACACACTTCACTCACATTTTACCTATTATAGCTCACATCTTTGGGGCATTTTTCTCCCTAGTGGCTCTTCGAGTTGTATTCCGGATTTTTTTATACTTCGAAGTAGTGAGCACTATTTAGTCAATTGACAGAGACATTGCTCATGCAAAAAAATGTTGTTGCTCGGTAAGCGTAGATGGAGGCATTGTTAGCACATCTTTACGGGTCAGGAAGCTGAATGTCTTGGTAGTATGCCATTCATTATCTGTCGAGACATTTTAACGGCAGAGGCTTATACATTTTTGTTCTTGCCTTTCATTTTCACCTTGACTAAGTTATTTTCCAGTTCCTCATTTTTATTTGGCTTATCTTTTCAGATTAGTTTGTTGAGGTCGTTTAACTCAGAGTTCAACACAGTTTTTTTTTCACTTGGTTGAATTGGGCAGTAGGCATCATTTGTGTTTGCATTGTCAAGTTGACGTTTTCGTGTGTGTAGTGTATTTTCACTCTTTATTTCTTTTTCTTTAGGATTGTACAGCGGCTCAGTGGCTTGCCTGGACTTTGATTTCTCTTCTCTATGTTTCTTCGTGAACAATACAAGTATGCAGCAACATCGATGGCAGTGGATCGTTGGCTTGCCTACTTTGGATTATCTTCTTTAATTTTTGAATCAAACTTTTTATTGTTGGATCATACAGTAAATGGCACTTTGCCTGAATATGCAGAGGCACGCTGGCTTGCTTTTATCCTTACACTCAATGGTAGTATACTGGATTATTGTTTGTAGTAGAAGTGAGATAGTAATACATGTATGGTAATCCCAACATTATCGGCCGATAATACAGCCTGTATGCTCTGCTGATAGCAGGCTCGTTACGCAGTGCGTATTATAGTGGGCGATATTACAGCCCGTATGCTCCGCTTGTAGCGGGCCAATGCGTGGGCGACATTTCTGCCTACGTACTCCGCTTATAGCGTGCTCAATATGCAATGCTTATCATTGTGGGCGCATTTACAACCCAAATGCGCCGCTTATAGCGGGATCAATACGCAGTGGGATGGGTTGAAAGTCTAGGGAGATATCCCTCTAGCTCAACATCGCGGGGAAGACGTCCTGCTTAACGTGCGCAGCACGTTAGCTGGCATAGAGGGCAGCATGGCCTTGAGGTGCCGGTGGCACATGGTAGACTCCCGTGCGTCCTCTTGTCGGCGTCGAGTTCATATCCTGTTAAGCCAGGTGACGCTCTGCTTTTGAGCCGCCCTTATTGGTAGGAAGCGTCGGGCTTATAACATTTTGGAGTGCCGCGTCCAGCTCGCCTCCTATCCGTCATCTGTCCTCTGGCTTGGTAAAAGGAGAAGAGCTTGTGGTGGACTTGGTAAAAGAAGAAGTGATGAATTATAGAGTCTGGTGTTCTGGAGAGGAGTTACTCTCCACCAACCAGTCCAGTTATATACGATTTCTCTATATGAAATAGTACAGTTATATTCCACTAGATAGTCATCATCACATCGGAGATGCTTACTTCGACAGATCCGAAGATTGACTCTTGCTGCTTGTTAGATTGTCAATACGCTAGGAGGATGCTTCGCTTCAACTGGCTTCAACGCTGGATAGACCTTGCGCATGTAAGTATCACTCGGGTGTGGGGGTTGCTATTTGACCGAAGTATTATAAAGATAATCCAGATCGAATCCGAAACTACAGTAGTGTAAGAACCTCGGATGTGTACTCTGACTCGTAGCCGACCTCAAACCTGACTCGAAGGATAGATTGGGCCATAAAAATATCAAGCTTTGACACACGACAGACCCTGAAACGCTCACTTTTATGTAATATACGCAGTACGAAATATGTACTGTTTTTTCACAATTCTAATGAAAAGCATGAAGTTCTGGATTTAGTGGTTCCTAAATATCGACATCCGTTTTGGCAGTGTTGCGTAAATTTGCTTCGACCTACATGCATTAATACATTTACGTGTTTTATTGTTCGCCTGGTTTTATGCGCTGACCACGCTGGCACTCCATTTCCAAAGCACAATTGAGTATCACTAAGGCAGTCCGATTACTTAGAGTCGAATCCCCGTGACTAATCAAACCATCTCTTTTGAAATACGAAGCGATTGATTGGTCACACCAACCGTCTGAGTGCGTCAACAACCAAGATGGACGATGTAAGCCGCTACCGGTATTGCGGTTTTCATCAATTTTGCCGCTAAATAAAACGAATAGAAGCTAAGGGTAATCGGATGGGAGGCGAAAATCACAGACCCCTAAATTTATTCACAGATCGCCCATATTGAACTTAAGTTGTTTGCAAATGTTTAATCAACTGGATATATTTCCAAATGCAGGCACAGGCGGGTTTAGCTAAATCTACAGTACCGAAAGTGAGGTAAAGAAGTCCCTTGAATAAGAGTAGCATGTACTTAATATACTCCTTTATATCGGATCATTTGGATTGAGGTACTTTTGACAAGAGCACAAGATCGCTGTGGATTCCATATGCAAATTAATCAGACGACCTTTATGCTTACTGAAGGGGACTTCTGTGTCACCATAATACTTCAAAGTATTAGTCGTGGCGTTGATATCTACTTGACTGAACAAAGTTCCGGGTGGTCGTACAAAAGGGGAATCTACATCATCAGTTATGCACGCCAGTTTCGTAGGAAACTACATCTTAGCTTAATGTTTGGAAAACCATTTACAGTAGCTAAGGGATAGCAGGATTACCTTCGAAAAATTCTGAATATAAAAAAACTGAACCTTATCACTGATCGAATCAAAAGATCCCTGCGTACGACATGAGTAGAAAACAGGCTACGATTTTGGTCTACCTAAATGTGAATTCACAGCAGGTCTCACTTGATATCTCCCATGCTCGCTATGTTGTACCTTATGTACAGTGCATTGTACTGTATACTAAAGGTAAAACAAATGGATTGTAAGTGCAGGGTGTCGATTACTACGATAGCCTCCTCCACAAGAGCCCCCCCCCCCGCCCGTGGAGTAGTTTTCAAAGCCACTCACTTTGAGATTTGCTCTCCACCTCTCAAGCTGCGCTATACACATGCGTCTTCCTTACGTGTTCGCGGCCACGATGGCAACTCTCCTCGTTTCTAGCAACGCGCTCGTGAACTCGAACCAAGCTATGCTCTCTTCACCAAATGAGCAGCACCAACGTCAATTGCGGTCTCACCAGACCCCTGTGGAGGATCAGGAACCCGATGAGGAGAGGTCTCTATCTAAAGCCGAGATGAAGCGGTTATTTGAAGCGGGGAATTCTTTGGACGATTTTGCTAAGCACTTAGGCATTGCTGACGATGTTGTACGTGCTCAAAGCTCGAACACCGTTCTCCAGCGGCTCATGCAAACGGACGAGTACATGAAGTACTCTACGTATCTCAACTTTCTGTCGAAACAAAACAAGAAGAAGAAGCCACCTACTTTCTACCATTTATAAGTAGATCAAACCCCTGTCGAGTACATGAAGAACAAGCTAGATGTAAGCTCGTATCGACCTCAAGTTCGTCACGCAAAAACGAATTAAAAGTCAATGATGCGACCATTTTGATGATTTCACCGATTCTCACATTAGCGTTAATGTCCTCGACTTAAATCAACTCGCGCGAGTTAAGATGAGGTGAACCTCGATTCAAATTAGCTCGCGCGAGTTAAACTGATTGCCCTCACCCATTAAATTTCCCGAGTTAATCTGAATCTCATTCAACCGCATTAGTTGTTAACTATTACTACTATTACACTCCTGGACACAATTATACGGCCACCTCGTCGAGTGTTCATAACTCAGTCAATTTTTAATATTTGACGGTGCGGTTTTCACACAAGTTGCAAAACATGCTTCAAAATAGCAAGGATGTGCTAACGCTCGCGGTTTTGCACTTAATAGGGAGGCTCACATACAAAAAAGAGATTTGTCAGGCTGGACACAATTTACGGCCACCATCGGCCCAATACAAAAATCTATATACAATAAAACATATGTCATTTTGGCTGACTAGAAATTTGTACGGACTGAGTTTCTGAGGGCGATTAAATGGACACTAGGGATCGAGAGTTGCCTGGGGGGGGAAACCCAATACCGCTAAATGAAAACGACAATGAATCTGAACTCCTCCTGATCCGATATGTATCGTGAAGTTTTAGGAAGTGTGGAAAAAGATTTTTTTTACTGTAGCAGATCATATGGAGAACACCGTGTAGTCGTCGCGATCTTACATTTAAAAATTCTCCATTAATATCGATCAAGCAGAGGTGCGAGTACAACACGTTACATATAACAGTATTGTGTACACCCCCATGCAACTACTTTGAGCTCTCGATCCCTAGTGTCCATTTAATCGCCCTCAGAAACTCAGTCCATACAAATTTCTATTCAGCCAAAATGACATATGTTTTATTGTATAAAGGTTTTTGTATTGAGCCGATGGTGGCCGTAAATTGTGTTCAGCCTGACAAATCTCTTTTTTGTATGTGAGCCTCCCTATTAAGTGCAAACCGCGAGCGTTAGCACATCCTTGCTATTTTGAAGCATGTTTTGCAACTTGTGTGAAAACCGCACCGTCAAATATTAAAAATTGACTGAGTTATGGGCACTCGACGAGGTGGCCGTATAATTGTGTCCAGGAGTGTAGTAGTATTTTTTCTTAAGTTTGTTTGCTACATTAAGCTTGAAATGTGGCTTAGACAGCCACTTCGTGATATAGTGCCGCAGATGCTTCTTCCGCATTTATTTCCAACACAGCTATTCCCTTCTCAGAGAAAAGTTAAACGTTCGTTTCCGGAGCAGTAGCAGTGTATTCTTGCGGTTTGCCATGCATCTGTGTGAGACGATGCCCCACTGGGAAGAGGGGGAGTAGATATTGAATGAAGCCATGCGGAGCAAGCAGTAGTATTATATCTAGTGTATACTGTTTTGATATCTTATTGTGCTTCCTGAAATCGCATTTCTTTTTTGTGGCGCGTATTTGTCCGATTTATGGTACATTTGGGACAGAAAATTTCTGAAAGTTTAATTTACTCGACGTTGTTAGGAGAAAAATAGCCACAAAATTAGTTTCTAGTTTAGGGTCAGGATTAGCAATAGGTCCGAGCTCCATTCGAAATCTATTGACTTTTTTATATCTAGTCATTACTCGACAACCGGTGCTCTCCTGCTCATGAGCACTTAAGCTTCGCCAGCAGCGTCAACAACCCCTCAGGCCCCTCGAGAGCGTTTGGCGATTGAGGGACGTGGAGCCGGATTACGTTTCCTTGATAATATTGAGATCTGGCCAAGAATCAACGTGCCACGACCTACAGTTTCATTTGCATTCTACCCACTGTAGAATGAGGAGAAATGGAGCTCAAGCGGATGCAGCTGTTGCATAGCCGAACGGAAGAGTGTGCACGACGCGGAGATAGAGAACAAGATCACCAAGTAGAGCGCGCGCGACGTGAGGAAGCTGACCGTCACAATGAGCTGTTTAAGCACATGATGGTTACAATGGTAGTTTCGGTGATGAAACCCCACGAGTAAGTTGCAGGTCAATTTGTTGAAGCAGCTCATTCGGCAAGTTTCAAAAACAGTGTATTAGCCGTTCTATCGGTACTACTAACGTAAAACGTAAATAGAACTGATTGATCCCAACGATGCGCGTGCGACGATCCCAACTGAGTACAAGATTCACTTCCATTCTCCTCTCTCCTCGTATTACAGTCGGTCCTGTACCGTGACAAGGCAGCCTGCAGAGCACGCATTACCAATCCAGTTGTTTGCCGTAGAGAAATTACCTGTCTTCTAACTGCCATAGGCAAAACGACGTCTTCTCAACGCTTCAGCAAGAAGTCATAGGCACACTCGGAAAATGTCGAATCAACAACCACCTGCCCGCCTGTAGACGGGTAGAGCCGCTGAATCTTCGCGTACACATTTCCCTGCTCTGCTATTTGGGAATCATACATACACCCATGTGCATTTAGCGCGCACGCAATCACTAGTCTGGCGGGTGAAAGCACGAACACGCCGCTAACATAGTGATCGTGCGTTCAGCCGTTGTAGAACATATTATGAATCTCAGGCTTTAGTGTATCCATAACAGCGTTAACGGCGCTCAGAAGTGGATACTTTACGCTTTAACGTCTTGTAGAGTGTGCTCATGTCATCTAGATCAGGAAGCTTAACGTGAGTCTTGGTTTCCCTTTTCAATAGCAGCACTAGAATACATCTTCCGAAGCGTAAAACGAGAGACATCACTGACGTCGTCACACCTAAACAGAGACTAAGAAACGACGTCGGCCCGACGGACCAGCCCCCCCCCCCACCCCCACACACACACGCAAGCACTAGAGCCAAACACTGAGCCGCCGTCAATGAAAGCGGCCGGACACGACCCGTTGCACCTTGATTTAGCTTGGTAATCGATCCATCAACAGAGTATGGCGAGGGTATGTAGTAGAGAGGCTCAAAGCGGACTATCAGATAGTGAAAACCAGTAGGGTGAAATCCTGTTAATGTGATTAGCGACTGATTGCACCCCGACCCATAGCGCCACTGAAAAGCGGGCTTGTGCAGCGGAAGAAGTGCTCTTCGGCTGAGGCGATTCTGCATTCGGCGCTGAGCAGATAGAGTTTTTGCATATCGTTTGGCACGCCGTCGGTGCCCCAAAAGACCGGCAAGGCTTGTTGGGGAGAACATTAAAGTATAACAAGGCCGCGGGTCACCAATAAAATTGCATTGATACACGGTCCAACCGGTAGTTATATGCTAATGCTTCACCCCTAACTACTTACAGTATCTTGTATTTCACTAGTTTTTCCGCATGCCCACGATAAATGCGGCAGTACTATCATACTACATGGTTCTCGCTCATATAAATATATGTACTGGAAGTCCAGACCTTCAAAATCACTGTACGGTAAACTCTGAAAACCAGCATCCTGTGGCAATGCATTTTGGTACTATCACACTTTGGAGGAAAATACTTCATTCGGATATTGCGTTGAATCCAATTTTGAGCCAGAAAAGTGATTCGAACCATGTATGTTTTCTTTCGCATCTGTTACGCATAATAATTGTGATTTCAGGAACATGAGCTTGTTGAAAGCGGACATAGAACTTCGCATCCAGTTTAGAGAGCAAATGAACTCCTGGGGCGCTTGACCAGTCGTGGGGGGTAGAAGATTCACTAGAGCCTCGATCCGCTAAGGATCATGGCGCACACCTTCACCAGAGATCACGCGTCCACACCACAATGCCTTCTTGAGATAGAGCGAACATTTCTTTGGATTCAGCTTTATGATCTTCTTTATGAAAATATCTAGAACTTGGTTCGACAGCTTTAGCATCTTTCTCATACCCCAGTGAATAGTCACTCCAGATCAGCAGACCCTTGTTAAAAATGTGCAGTGGTTTTAGATCTGGGTGAGCGTTGCATAACGGATAACGGTAGCTGTAGGGAAAAATAACAGACTAACCGCCAAATAAATTTATCCTCTATATTGAATTAGGACCTGCGACACCGAACACGTCCTATTGTGCACCGGTGGCAAGTTCTTTTTTTTCATTCACTCATGCA